TAATTCACTTATTTTTATTTTCTTGAATAATATCCGATGCCTAATTTTTCCCATTACCACTGATGCTGTTACTATTCCTACTATTATGGGATTTGGTCTGAAAATTTGATCTTTGTGGTAATGAAGTATGGTGACCTGGACCGATATAATGGTTGTACGTTGTATTTGACTGATTTTATGAAGTTCATCAACGGTAATATATATAATGATATGCCTTTCTTTTACTACGTTTTTTAGGATTGACGCAACGCTTGCAGAATTAGCTGATGAAGTACGTAATGTTGTGCCCATAGCTAGACGTCGTGGTACACGTATGCATTTTGCAATAGTCTATCCGGATAGTCGTGGTACTTATGGACGTCGTCAATTAGGTGTTGTTATTACTGGTTATGGATTAAGCTCTTGTGAATTTGATAATAATTCTGCTGATACAACAACAAATCGTAATAATAATAATAATATTCAGAGACCTTCTAATTTGATCGACGACTCATCAGTAACTCTGTTGTCGAAAAAATTCCAGGTAATTAGATTATCCAGTTGTTTTTTTAAGGTTTACATTAGCCAGTTTATGTCGTAATGACCTGGTGGTTATAAGTGTCATTTGATTTTCGCAACTACCATGGTATCAGCTTTTAACCTCTTCGGTTCAGGCTGCAAATTATTTCAACTCTGCCTTCACACATTTTGACTCAAATGTGATATGATTTCCCTTCGATATGGCCACTTGATACGATTATTAATTTATTGAGTCGCTCCCGTTGTCTTTTCGTCCAAGTATACTGACACTGGTAATCATAAAACTATCTGTTTCAGTCAGCATACGAATACGCCCGGTCAATTTACTCTCGATATTTTATTATTCAAAATAATGTGCATTAATTACAAGATCACTGCACATAATACATCGTAAACCTCAATCTCTACATGTCAAAGTAACAGTTGTATAATAAATTATCTGTCATCTATGAATCAGCTTCTAAAACAGTGAAATCTTCCATGTATCAGGTTTATATACTCTACTATATTCCTTTACAGTTCTTATTTAACGACTAGTTATACTACATGTTTCCTTAAATTAATATAGGCTTTCGTTGCTGTATGTTACCGATGTGTTTGTAACGTTTATTTGCTCACAGGATAAGTATATCTATGTGTATGCTAAGCGACGCATAAGTAAAAAAACGTATGTGTTACCTGTATGCAAGCAGATTATAGTTGCCCTTGGTGCGATGCCCGCACCCCAGCACCTGTGAGTAACGATTTTCTCACAAAAACAACCACACGGTGGGTTTTTAAGCCTTGCGAAACCTAAACCATTTCCAGAAAAGCCGATTGCCTACATCAAATAAGGCCTAACTATCCTGAACATGGCTGAAACACCATACTACCACTAAATAAGGTATTCAATCAATACGCTATATGCAGACTGGATCATTTTATACTACATACATGATTCACAACTAAATATAGAGAAGCAGAATGAAAACTAGACATTACTTTATCTAACACAATTACAAATAGTGAACACTCTGTGTGTTCAGAATAGAAATCAATAATAGTAAGTACATTAAGCAGCATCTTTCTGTTTACTGACGGTGGCCAATCACATCTTACTTTTACTAACAACACATCAATATTTCAATATAGATTCAAATTCTTTTCTTTTCTTGAGAATCCATTCAAAGTAGATTAAATGTGTAGATTAGTTGTTTTGTTAAATAACTTTGGTGACATTGAATTACATACTATATGAAATGTTCATGAAATCAATTATAAAATGAGATCGTTGATCTTTTTTTTTTTTACATATTTACAAAGCTAATATTAAATAAAGATTGTAATAAATGATTCTAGTTATGTTCAACAAAGTCTCTATACCTGAATGTAAGTGATATGTACTACTTGGTACTTACAATTTAGAAAGAACAAATACTGAAAACAAGGTCAAGCTATTCTCGTTTAGGTAACATTACTATTCTGGAACAATCTTATTATTTATTATTAACCCCATTGAATTGGACTTATCTAGTTGCGTCTCTAGTTATGTAATAACTCATCTTTCTAAGTTCTGCATAATGGAATGACTTCAGTTAAACAAACATTCAATACAAGGAAGCACTGATGAGCATTATACCATTCATTAGTGGTACACATTCACAATCTTATCAACAAAATTAGGTAATTTAAGCTTTGTGGTGATTTCTTAACCTACAGTTGACTAAGGTGACATCCAGTGGTTTACATTCCTGTCATGACCTTGAATCGCTTTTACCCCGTCGATATTTTGCTATGACTTGACCCTGATCTGTCTAGTCTAGATTATAACCTTTGCGCGATAGGCTGATCGGCTTAACCTTGAGTCTGGTACGCGTGAGTTCGAGATGGGGTAGAGAGAGAACTATTTTAGAACCTGATTGGTTGGCAAGCAGGCAAGTGAGAGGACACAAGACAGTTGGAACACTCTGAATTCTGAATTCGGATTAGTGCAAAATGTACATGAATAAACAAGTGAATATCCTGACCACAACGTACGATAATTTGGAAAAATACAATTATGCCCGAAACTGGGAATTAGGGTAGAAAATAAGATGCAAAATATTATATTTAAATTACAATAGTTTCGGAACAAAAAAGGGTATGGCAGTAAATGTTACATAGAACGAAAGCTCATGTTATGTAGAATAAAATAGGGACAAAAATAAATATAAGTGTTTTACAAGGTTTGAATGAAATGAAATAACATCCCAAGAAATGTCTTTCGTAGTTTGTCTGGGCTTCTTATTTCCCCGTTCACAACAATTCCCAACTTCATTTAATTCACAATATTCTATAACTTTCATTCATTATCACTGATGGTATTTGCCTCACACTTGATGTGGTGAAATAACTGCTCTGTTGACGATTTCCTAATAGATTTCTGTAATTTACCTGTTGAAATTGGTGATTTGTATATACCATGGTACTTGTTATTTCAGGATATTATGAAGATTGTTCGATTTAATCGGCATTTTTAGCTAATACATCATGTTTTACAGTTTATTCTAAAGAATAAAATCAATGACTTCAGATTAGAACACTTTTTAATTCATGGGAAATCCCTGATCAGTTAGAAACGCTGATTTGTCAGTTGTATTAATTATGTCATCTTTATGTATCCTGCTCCACTCGAACGATGTTGCCAGTAATTAAACTCATGTTGATTTATCGCTCTATGCTGAATCTAAAAACATTTACTTGGTGATTGTGATCAATAATCTAACAATTCATCAGAATTATTCATTGGATATAGTATACTACTGTTCATATTTTGATTAACGTAATTATACTGTAGTTGTTGTTACTTTTTCTTCAGATTGGTGATTATGTGGATTGTGCAATTGTTGAATATACTCCAGGTTCTTTAGGTGGTTGGTCATCTGGGCGACGTCCACTTGGTCCACCACCACCATCAACAACAACTGGATCTGATCCACATGGTTCTGCACTTGAAGAAGCTCGAATGATATAGTCATTTCTGACAAATAAAAAATATAATTTGTAAAATGTCTACTTTTTTTCTGTTTGTTTATTTTTTCTTGTAAATAAAACATATGTTGATTGTTTTACACTTGTTTAAGTACTTGTTCTGAGTTTACGCGTTCTGTTTACAGTTAGAGTTGTTTCAACTTATTTGTTACAATTGATTAATCACTGGTTAGTGACCAAAGTCATGTTCATCTAGTCATTTAATCCAAGTGGTCATATTCGATCGAACGTACGGCAATATAATCACTCGTCTAAGGGATTTAGGATCATATGCACGTAGTTATCATGTTAGTTGGTTGGATGTAGTTTTATGTGAAACTCTCTAGAGAGATGGGAAATCTATGACACATTAGTCAGTACTGAGTGATCGAAAAACGCTAGTGTTCTAGTTCCCTCGTACGTTAATCGCTCCAGAATAGTGAGGCGGTTAATGCCTCAGACTACGGAAGTAAGCTATGCTGGCTAGAATATCACTTGCCTCAAGATTGTTGGTAAGTGACAACTAGCACGAAAGGTAGGTACAGGATTTCCTGCCAACTACTTCTGGCTACCTAATATGTTTAGATGTGGTTGGAAGATACAACAACTCTCCTGTGGTGGGCTCTGTTAGATCCACGTGATTATCACAACCAATCATCAAAGACGTTGGGTGGCACGTCTCAGAATCCCTTACAATCGCGCACTTTCATTCACGTCCTCAGATTTTAGGTTTTTAGGTCCCACATAATCTTTTTATTTTACTAACTTATACTTTCTTGAGTCATATCTTCAATACTTAGTCTTTTATAATGTCACTTTATTCACTACCTTGTAATTCGCTCTGACGATTTCGAATACATTCATTCTTTGTCTTTCTGAAATCCTAAGTTCCTAGATTACCTAAAGGAAATTTCAGTTCACTAACCCAAATCGTACTATCGGTCTTTAATCTTTATTATGGCAATTCCTCTCACCAACTCTGCTACTATTTTATTTTCACTGGTTTTTTCATCTGGTGCTAATGTGATATGAAAACTTGAACTGATGTTTACATGTGCCAGGTTGTCTCCTGCTTTTGACTGGCTGACGAAAGGTGCATAAGTCCAGGTGAAGAAGGTACACTGTTCCATGATCGAAACTATAAATTAACCACTATTTTTAAAGACTTGTTCCTCTTATTTAATAGAATAAATCGCTGTCATTTGTATCGTTATTTCGGATACATTTATCGTACTTCGATTGCTTTGTTTTCGAATATATGCAGTACTAGCGTTCGGTTGTATGTGGGTGAAAATGTCAGGTTCGACAAGCTGTAAATTTAGTGATTTTAGGTAAAATTAAACTAACCAAGTTTAAATGAGCTACCGTCGGACGTTTGCACGCAATGATGGGTTTTGATTTGAATCCTATGAAAACCGACATTATAAAGACAAACGGATTAAGATAAACTTGAATAACTGTTGAAATGGCAATGAAAAATTGATTAGTTTCTCATGGAAAATGTATATTGTCAAGGTATAGGGATGTTGAAGGTTGGGGATACTGACACATATCCAATGAGAGCAATCAACGTGTGTGTACGATTAAGAATGATCTATTTGGTACGTTTTTAATTCCTTCTAATTGATCTTAACCAAAGATATCTATTGGAATCTTCAACAAAAGTAAATTCCTAGATAAACCATAGACGTTTAATGATGGCTTGAAGTAAACACGGTAGTGTGTTACGACGAATAAGTCTTGTAATTTATAGTTTTTCATGGAAGCCAACGTCACCAGGGGTTTCAAAGCTGATTCACTTTTTATATGTATCAATGCCAAGGTTAGACCTGATCGTTTGAAATAAATTGAGTATTGGGTAGAGAGTTCATAATAAATATTTTGTTTGTTATATCCTGATGAATAGAGTGATTGTACCCAATTCGGTTATTTATTTGTCCTGAAGAAGTGGCTTATACGAAGTTACGAAACGTCAGAAATGGAAGTTTTCTATTCATTCGTTTATAACAAAAAATATACTGATACACTTTTGTTCTACTTGGAAATATATACTAATTAGTAGTAGTAGCATAATTTACGATCACTAAATAGTTATCAATATCATGTTTACCTGGACCTAAACGGTTGTCCAGTTCTTTCAACGAAGTTCCAGTGTGAAGACCAGTTGAAGTGACTTGATGTTGACACCTGAACTCTAAATATAGTGCACACAATCTGAAATCTTTGGTATGAGGGTTAAGATCGTACTTGGGGCAGTGTTCCATCAAGGCAGCAGATTCTGCTTGCTGGTGAGTACTGACTCGTTTGAAACCAAAGCCTAGAAATTCTTGCTGTCTCCAGCTACAGAACACCAAAAATTAATTACATATATTATCGACAATAACTTTAGAATAACTACTAATTGATCAGTGTAGCGAGTATAATGCAGATCATTTGGATGAGTTAGTTTAGATAGAGTTTCCTGAGCTAGATAGTTTGAGAACGAACGTAGCCTGGCAACGCGGGCTCGTCATGTGAGGTTTGAACCTAGTATCACTGCATAAGATATTGCCAACAATTGTTAACACGACAGCCTGTACCGGCCCATATGGCAAATTATCTCATTTCTCTTTTGTTTCTTTCTTACCCCAGGTGCAAAGTAGTATGTCTGAAGAAGAAAAGTGGTGGCATCCAAACAAATTACCACCAAGTGGTTACCAATCCAATATTGCTCAAGATCATGATAGAAAATCATTTTATCCATTCAATAGTGAATTGGGTTATAGAATTTTCAAAAGAATAATAGAAATGAAGCGAACAGGTATAGAACAGCAAAACAATCAAGAAAATACATATCGTCCAAAATATGTTAATCAAATGAATAAAGATGAGCGTTTTCTTTTGAAGCAAAGTGTTTGTTCGCAGAAACCTAACTCAAGTAAGTATTTGATCTTATATGTAAAGATTGAACTGTATAATAATGGTAAAGACTCGATGATTTCTTGTTTGAAGTCTGCAGAATATTCCGAATCACTGTTTAATAATGTTAGGTAATGTAGCACAAACTGTTCGGAGTAGCTGAAATGTATTCATTCACCAACGTTCGAGAAATCTTAAGTTATGTATCATCCAAACTTTCATGTTTTTAGTTTCTTCGAGTGTATATTCGATAATTTGTATTTTTCTGTTGTTTATATTAAGAACTACAACCAGTCAGTCGGGAAGCACCTTCCAAATACCACTGTTATTCACTTTCTAAATGCGTCAAGACTTGTAACCGTTATGTTTTGAGAAAGGTTGATGTGTTATGACTAGAAATTCTAACTGATTGTACGCACTGTATCTCCAGTTGAACTGGTAAGCTATTTGAAAAATTTAACACTGATCAAAGAACAGTAATCAATGCCTAAACGATTATCAGTCCCTTTCGACTTAGTAGTCGATAATAAGATGACCATAGGAGTCAGATTAACTCTCTGTTTTACCTAACTCGATCATGACTCAAGACTCATACAATAATATATTTGAAGTGTTTGATCACCCAAAACACCGAATAAGAAAACTCACTTTTAATCTAATAATAATATAAGTAGAATAGTGTGGAGCAAACAGTATATAACTAGTTAGCAATAATGAGGGGAAGGTGTTAGGTATCACAATGGTCAATGGGTCCCATGAAGGTTTACAAGCACGGGAGGTCAGAAAATTCTGTGATAACGTTATTTACTTATTATACAACAAAAGTACAAATAATTATGATTCGAATATTAACTCTGAGAGTTTCAACTTTGCGAATATTCGTTCTGTTAAAAAGTAATTGAAAGGAGATATCTGAGCACGATGACGCATTAACTAACAGAGGCTAATCAAGAGATGGTAGAGAGTTTTAGCTCAGTGAATGATCTTCATTCTGTTTT